GTGTATGTGAACAGTGAGATGTTTGGGCGCTGAAGTCGCCATAGCTAATTGAGAGTGAACTCGTATCTGAAAGCCATATCTCCAAGTTTTGAGTGGGCGCATGTCGCCAGTATGCTGCGTTGCTGTTTACATGCATGAAAAGTGTGTTTGAGAACGAGTCTGAGTGCAGTTGCCTCCGGCTCAAGGCCGCTCACAGACAACCGGTGCCCAAGATAGATTACGTTGTCCCTGCCAAACTCATATTTCTCCAAGTTGAGGTGCAATTGAGCATCTTTGAGGACTTGCAAGACCTCAAGCTGCTTGACGTGCTCCTCCATGGACTTGCTGAAAATCAGAATGTCATCAAGATACACAACCACAAACCTGTTAAGTTGGTGGCGGAGTACCTTGTCCATGAGGGACTGAAATGTGGTTGGTGCGTTCGTAAGGCCGAAGGGCATAACGATAAATTCGTACAGCCCATCGCGTGTCTTGAACGCAGTTTTGTGCTGGTCACTCGGATCGACTTCAATCTGGTGGTAGCTAGACTTGAGGTCAATTTTGGAGAAGACCTTGCAACCACCGGCCGCATCCAACAGATCATCTATGCGAGGCAAAGGGTACGCATTCTTTCTAGTGATCCGATTCAAGCCACGATAGTCGATGCACATTCGGAGCTTGCCTCCTTTCTTCGGTACAAACAGGACAGGGGCACCAAACTCAAACTCACTAGGCCTAATCCATCCACGGTCAATCATGTCATCGATCTGTCTCCGCAGCTCCTCCAACTCGCCTTGTCCCATACGATAGACACAGCCCTTTGGAGGAACACTCCCTTCTATTATCTCGATTTTGTGCTTGACTGGACGCTCGGGAACTCCGCGCGGTTCAGCCAACACTTCCGGGAATTGATCTAATAGGAGGCGAATGTTTGCTGGGATTTCGGGTGGAGGATCATCCTCATCAGGCGAGAGAAAATCAGATTGGGAATTTACAGCAATCACAACTAGTTTTGAGGCATTGGGATCAGAATTAGATTGATTATTTACAGCAGAAGTAGGTGGAACAGAAGTAGAAGAAGTAGAGTTACCTTCAGAAGAAGAAAATGCAGCAAAAGTAGAAGGCACATGGAAAGGTTTTACAAGAGCTACATGTACAAACTCAGCCTCCTTGCGCCTGCGCACTGACCTGCAGAATTTGTTTTCACTTAGAAGAGTCACAGGGGACTCGCGCGTCTCGTCTAGTAAGACGGTACGCTCGTTCCCCTCGGCATCGAGAACCACGAACTGATTGTCCGCCCATGTGGTCCTTAGGCAATGAGCTCTTAGCCAGCCCAAGCCAATGACCGCGTCGAACGGACACTTGTCGAAGACATAAAAGTTTAGCTCATGTGTGACAGTGCGATCTTTGTCAAAGGTGATGTGCACACCTTTGACAGCATGAGTAGAAGTGACAACCTCTTGGTCGCCCACCTGAGTCCGACAAGGGTTCTGCAGTTCCACTTGCTTCATACCCAGGCCCGCCTTACGAATCCCGTTCGGAGAGAAGAAATTAGTGGTCGAACCACGGTCAATCAGCACACGGATGTATCAACGGTTAATGAGTAGTTTAAAGAAAATCAGCTCCACGCTCCCTTGAACACGACGTTGCTGCTTGAGCTGCAGCCAATGCTTCATGTGGGCGTGGAGGTCAACCTCTTTAGACTCCTCCCAAGGCTCAGTGTACAATACTTGGACTGCGTCAGCCTTGGATTCAGCATTAGTTTGGGCTTCAAGAGAACGCTGCTGATCAGATCCAGGCTCCTCGGAAGGGCCTGCAACTGACTGCCCAGCTTCCCTTGCTGTAGAGAGTGCTGATGACTCCTCTACGCCCCTTGCCTGTTTCCCTGAAGACGATAGCAATCCTGCACAGCATGCCCAGGCTTTGAACAATGCAAGCATACGCGCAGTTTGGATCTTCTTTCCCATTTTTTTTGGCTGATGCGGAGGGCTTCCCAAGGTTTTGTGGAAGCGTCCTCCGATTTCTCAGGGATCTTAGCATTCTTGGGAAGGTGTATGGCTGTTCCCTTACCCGAACCACGGTTAGGCCCCTTATTTGAAGCAGTCCTTCTGAATGCATTAAGTTTTTCATCGTCATTTCTATCACACTCAATGGCTGATGTGGAACAGCCCGTATCGGAGTCCGGTTCTAGATCGTCATCTAGAGACAGATCATCCGCATAGGACTGATCTTCAGCCTCCCGATGATCATGCAGTGCAAGCTGGTTGCTGCTTCCAAACCGCTTGCGTTGTGGTTTCCCACCTGCAGCGGGCGCCTTCTTGCGCCTGGCGAGGTCCTTGGCCTCTAGGTCGACTAGGTCCTTCATGAGCTCTCGCCAGGTGGCATGGTCCTTGAGTGCTAGCAGGGAGAGGTAATCTTTAGGGGCCACTCCCATGACTACATCCATACAAGATACGTCAGTCATTCCCAGATCCGGAGTGGTGAATAGACCTGTCAAGTGCTGTTCTAAAGCTTGCATGGATGACCTCCATGTTTGGCCTTTGAGGGCCTCAAGCTTCAGCCTAGCCTTGAGCGCAGCGCGTTTATCCTGATACCGGTCATGGAGAAGGTCTTCAAGAGCGCGGACAGGGGTAACCTTCAGCCATACAGTCAGGTCTATGCGCTCATAGCCTGCAGCAACAGCTTGGAGCTCAATGTGGTTGCGTACGGCAGGCTTGGTATTAGTCCCCATGATCATACTTCGGTCCTCTTGCGGTGTCCGCATGACCTCGAAGTATGACCTCATGGAACTAATCCAAGAGGTGATGTCAACCTTCCCGTCGTACTTGGACGGCAGCGTGGCCGCCCGCTTGTCCACCATGGGACCGTTGTACTGAACGCCAGTAAGAACTGCGGCGTTTTGGGCTGAAGTCCCGGCATTTGGGACTGTGACCAGTGCAGAACTGTCGGTGCTGCCGCTCAAGGAGCTGGCACCGGTTCCTGCACTTGCCACAGTTCCACTGGCCCTTAGAACGAGGGCTGTGCTGGACTGAGAGACTGGGATTACAGCAGATCGAGAGTTAGGAGGGCGGGGGGCAGACAATTGGGACTGTTCAAGGCTATTTACTTTAACCTGCAGCTCTTGGTTCCGCTGCTCAAGTGCTGTCACACGGGACTCGAGATCTTCCAAGTTCCGCAGTCGGACCAAGGCTGCGACGGCAGCAGCTAGCCTCTCCTGGAACCGGTCAGCATTGGCTTCCGGAACCTGTAGGAGGGCCTCCTGCGCAGCTATACTCGTAGCTCTAGTTGCTGCCTCCACCTCCCTTTCCCTCTGTACGGCATCATCATACAGTTTTTGAAAGAACAGTTTCTGACTCTCGTCTGCTGCGTCCAGCATGGCCTGCCATTGGTCAGATGTGATGACCGCCATGCTGGAGGAAGGAATGTCAGTAGTGTTCTCAAGAGGGTTCCGCTCTCTCCTTACGTTTGGACGAACACTCCTCTTGCCCCTCCTCACACTCTCAAACAGCACACCCTCACTCTCCCTTTCCTCTCTTTTCACTGTCTGCGCACGCGTCTCAACACCGGACATAGATAGTTCAGGCCAAAGAAACAAACAGAAAACCACTCAGAGAAGAAGGTAGAACTCCTAGCCGGAGCGGCGAATCATTTGGACTGAGAACGTGGCACGCAGCAGAAGAAAAAAAAAAAAAACAAAAAAAAAAAAAAAAAGGTCTGATTTATAGAACGGGCCCGATCAGATCAGCTGGAGATACCCTCTTGTCTAACCTGACAGAGGACGTGTCATCACAATAAATCAGACGAAGAAGACTAACTGCAGCAATGGAGATTTCGAGGGGTGCAGATGGTCGCCGAGTCAGACGCGGGGCAGTATGTGATCACACGCGGTAAGACCAGTCAAGATCCCCTTGAAAGGAATGCCCTTGCTGTCTGTGTGTCCCCTAGATTCAGCACAGCAAAGTAATGCACTGACGGCAGCGGATCTGGGCCCGAAGGTCCTGTCCCGTTGGGCCTGGTCCCACTGGGTCCCAAGTGGTCCCGAGTAGGCCGTGGACCAGGTCTAACGAGACAGGGGTATTAAGTCAGACCCACACTGTCTCTACCGTACTGAGAAGGAAAAGACAACTTTCAGCAAGAACTTACCGCTACTACCGTTCAGAAGTGAAAAGACAATGCACTGTAGAAAGATAAGTCATTTAGAACAAGATACATCATCCATTCATCCATCAGGTGAGAAAGCAATCCACATGCTCAACACACACAACCAAGACTGCAGAGAAGGGGAAGAGATCCCAGCACATCCCCAACAGGTCATGCAGCACCAAGCAACCTCCCACGGGCTTACCCAGGTCACACGGCACTTACCTATGAGGCCCGGCCTCCAAAGATGGATAACGCGTCACTCCCCTCTCATATAAGTCCTCCTGACCCCTAGCTACCACTACACGAAGTGTCCTATCATGACTAAGAGGGCCTTCCTACACCCCTGTTGCAAATCCGGATCCCCCGTCGATGCCTGAAGACCAAAGTAGCAACTTGCAGCAGTCCGATGCAGATATGGCAGCCTCCGATCAAGTCTCCCTCTTGAGGGGAAGCCCAAAAGTCACTCAATGTCTTCCTGAAGTCCAGAATCCAGGTGCGAGTACCTCTCACTCTCTACTCCCTCTCGCTTACTCCAATCAGCCTCCTTTGTGTCTCGCCACCCCATACATTCACTCAAACAACCTGGTTGGGTCCAATGTCG